TGATTAATACACGCCCCTCTTTTAAGGGCCTTAATATTAGGATCCCTATTATAATCCCTACTAAGGGTAGAGGGTTTATTCATCATGGGTCTGGGTTAAGAATCAATGTACACTTTTCGTGTATAGTGCCAACCCAACCCAAATCATGGTTCGGGGCCTAAGAGTCATCAAAGCGCATTGTCGTGTCGCCTTTGTCGGCGTTTGGTGAATTTTGGAGGTGTGGGGGCTTCAGAGGATTTAGGGTTTGTAGGTCTAGGGTTCAAGGGTTCGGATTGAGGATTGAGCCCTAAACCCTAAACCTCAAACCCTAAACCCTAAACCCTAAAGGTTTCGGCGGCTTACGCTCCAAGGCCTAGAGCCTAGGGTAAACGGCAAACTTGCTTCGGGGCTAAGGGAGGTTTACATTGCAACACGTGACAAGGCATTTTTTGCGTGGATTGGCAATTTTGAGAAAAACCCATCCTGGGTGAACCCTACGCTCCCAAACCCTTGACCTCGATCCCACACCCCCACGCCCGCAAACTTCTCAAATCCCAAATTTGTCAAAACACCGCGCCTCTCAGCTTTTTAGTTTGTAGGGTTTATGTATATACATATATGGGTATACATAGGCTTCTATAGAGTTATTTATTATTATTACATATATACACCCTATAATGGAGAACCAAGTGGAAACCAACTGGAAGCTATCCCTTACTTGAGATGTATTCCTCAAGCTTCTTTCAGAAGTCTGTGTAAAGGACCCAACCCTAAACCCTAAACCCCTAAACATGCAAGGCAAGGCAGGGAATTTGCCTTCGTAAGGAGTATTGGACTTGTCACCTACCACTCCCCAGGACCAGACATGAGTAGCGTCTTGTTGGTGGTTAAACCCAGCAAGATTATATTCCCTATATTAAATACTATACCCCAAAAGGAGGATATAATCTTACTCTATAATGGGTACCATAGTAGCCCCAAATAAAATACTACTCACATGTCCATGAGAGTCCTAGCTGCCCTCTTTGAGAACTAAAAGGTACAATGCTCCAACAAGTTTGGCGTTCATGTCTTCGCTCAAACTTACCCCGTATTCCCCCGTGCTCCACTTAAAAGATCTCAACCCTCAGCCATAAAGCATGCCAAGCAACTTTCCAAGTAGGCATCTGTCGTACAGACGTGTCTGCCGCCACCCCACCCACGGCTTGAGATCTGAAAATATGCGGAACGCAGCACATGTTGCACCAGCCTCGTAACATCAGTATGGCTGTGGCTTTTACTATATACTGGCATTGCTATCACTACAAGTAATCACGATAACTATTTTTTCACTATTACTATTACTATAGCACTTACTATTGCTAATACTCACTGCTACTAGAACTAGTACCGTTGCGATGATATTAAGGATCCTTCTTGTATGACGGATACGAAAAGATCAGAATATTCTGGTCAGGAGGGAGGGAAAACCAACTTGACATTGACCCCGAAACCTGAAACCAGGACAAAACCTGTGGGTTGTTCTCAAGAGACTATATATATCACGGGCACCTAATTTTTTAGGGTACCAAGATGGGACCCTAACTCTGGGAACTACCCCTGCCAGCTTCGACTCTCAACTTTTAAGCTCTGCCTTCAACCCAAAGCCCTCTAACACATAAACCTTGCAACCCTACGCGGTTTAGGGTTTAGGGTTTAGGGTTTAGGTCCTCTACCCTAGACCCTAAGCCCAACCCGAACCCCTAAACCCGTGAAGCCTAAACCTAAATCCCTAAACCCTTAAACCTGGAGCCCCAAGTCCTAAACCCTTAAACCCTACATAGTAGTTTCCACTTTAATTTCCATTATCCCAATATCACCCCTATGTAGCCCCAATGTAATATATCATAAACCAATGTAATATAATATACCATAAAATACTAAAACGGCTTAGGGTTTGAACCAGGTGTCTGCCCTGGCCTCAAAACAAGCTTGAACCTCTGCTGCCATTTCTGCAGCCCGCAGCCGCATGAAGGCAAGAGCCTGAAGAAAGTCTTATGGGTCTATGGGGGCCAATAAGGATACATGGGGTTTAGGATTTGGCATGTAGGGATTTAGGGTCTCTCAAAAATGGGGCGCTTGGCCTTTTGGGGATACGAGGGGGTATCTGGATATGTGGCGGTTTCTAAAAGACAAGAGGCTCCGATGAAGAGGCTCTGATAAAGGGACCTCTACTTCTTCGAAGTCCAATTTTGGATCTGGGAGTTTAGGATTTATTTGTTTTTATGGCTCCTCCGGTTTAGGGATTAGGTTGTAGGAATTTAGTGTTTCTGGCTTGGGGTTTGTCTAAAAATGTCAGGGCCCTAGGTATCCTATGGATGAATTTTGAAATAAGGAAGAGGTTACGGTGTCCTGATGACAGACTACAGAAGGACTGATTTATCCCCAGTAAAACCCCTGAATACCCCGTTAAAAGGGACCTAGGGTTTCCATTTTCTTTTCCATTATGACTGTGTGTGGAGCATAAAAACCTTTGTTGTGGGTAGCCATGTGTGGCTTAAAGCTGACGGCATCCATAACATAATACTTCATCTTTTGCAAAGGCGTTGAGTATGCAGGTAGCTACCAACCAGGATCGTCACACTTTTGTTGCCTTCTTGGAGTAAAAAGGGCGACCTGTGTCAAGCAGGTTAAGAGCCTTGATGGCCATGGATCAGGAAAGTTCCCCTGATGAGACTGTTCAAGGTGGGCAGGAAGATGAAATACCTGGAGAACCTGAGGATTCTGCTGAAAGGACCGCGGCTGAACAACCCAATCCATTCTGGTCGGAGCGAGCTACGGAGGAGTTTAGGCTTCGACAAGCCCGACCGTTGGGACTGGCAGAGTACGATGATCAGTTGCTGGAACCGGATTATGCTGCTTCGGAGACTGCACGTAGTGGTGGTTTCAGGTCTCTGGAAGCAGCTAGTATTCGAGCCCAAAGCCCTCATCTTCAGGGAAGTGAGCGTCAGCAAGCTGAGAATTCCCAAGGTAGGGTATCCTCAGGGGTTCCTTCGGTGTCTTCCAGGTCAAGGAGTCCAGCGAGGGAAGACTATGCTACAATGAGGGAGTTACTGATGTCCTTCGGAGGGGCGATTGCAAGTTTGGCAGAGGAACAACGTCATACTCAACAGCGGCTTGCTAGAGTAGAGGAAACACGTTCGGGAAGTAACTCCTCCATGCGCACAGGGAGGGAAGATAATGAAAGTGGGAACGCTAGGGTTGGGGATCTGGGTGTAGGCCCCCAATTCTATGAAATCGGGGAAGAGGAGATAGATGAGCCTAGAGGCCTTCGTTCGGGAATGTTACCTATAGAAGACTGGGTCCAGGAACCTACGAGGTTGAGCGACCTCCCCTTAGAGCCATCTCTTTTCCCGGTAGGGTTTCCCCAATCTTATGGCCCAGGAACGATCCAAGGGGCAGAGCTGTTTGGGTTGGGTTCGAGTAGGGATCCTTTGGCACTGGGAGCAGGTGGCAAAGGTTCTGAATTGGCCCAGGTTGAAGCCGGCCCGCATTGTGTAGAGTCTTCGGCACAGGCGAGGTCAGGAGGTTCGATCGGCCCAGGTCAAGGTCGCTCGGCATTCGGCCCAGGTGCCCAAGGTTTCGAGGCTTCGGCACAGTCAGGTTCGGGAGGTTCGATCGGCCCAGGTCAAGGTCGCTCGGCATTTGGCCCAGCGTCCAAGGTTTCGAGGCTTCGGCACAGTCAGGTTCGGGAGGTTCGATCGGCCCAGGTCAAGGTCGCTCGGCATTTGGCCCGGGGGGTCAAGGTTTCGAGGCTTCGGCACAGTCAGGTTTGGGAGGTTCGATCGGCCCAGGTCAAGGCCGCTCGGCATTCGGCCCAGGTGCCCGAGGTTTCGAGGCTTCAGCGCAATCAGGTTCGGGAGGTTCGATCGGCCCAGGTCAAGGTCGCTCGGCATTCGGTTCTATCGGCCCAGGTCAAGGTCGCTCGGCATTCGGCCCAGGTATCTCAGGTTTTCGAGGTTTCGGCGCAGGCAGGCTTGGGTAATGCAGGCCCTAGTCACAGTCAATCGGCATTCGGCCCAGGTATCCCAGGTTTCGAGGCTCTGGCACATGGTGTATTAGGTAGTTCTCAACCTGGTCAGGGTAGCACAGGTCATGTGTCTTTCGGCCCAGGTCACTCAGGTTTCGAGGCAATCAATTTCGGAGGTTCCAGTGGGCATCCATCGAGCTATGGAAATCAAGGTCCCATTGTACAAGCTCAGTGGCCAAGCAGTGCAGGGTTTAATGTCGCTAGTGATGACGCTTGCGCCACCGGTCATAGCTTCACCGTGTGGGTTGATGGATTGCCAAGAATTGCCGTGCTGGGTCCGAGCGGGCTAGAGGTGAGGGCTAGTGGCACCCTGGAAGCACATAGCCCTTTTGTTAATCAAGGAAGGCATCCGTTTATGCTAGGGCAAGGCGATACTCCAAGACCACCCCCGTTTCCACCTCCCCTGTGCAAGAGTCACCTCTTCGGCTTTCGCCCATGACTCCGAATGGTACTAGAGTGCCAAAAGGACCCCCTCCGGCTGACTGTATGGAATGGCCGCCATGGGCCAGCTCAATAGGTGATGCGGGGATTGCATTTGGCGAGCACATTCCCCCGCCGCCTCTTCCGCCTGAAATGAAGTCCGGCCCCACTGACGGGCAGCTAAAACCCGAAGAACCGTCTAGGCCGGTTACGGACTTGCCGGAATTACCGGCTTTTGCTCCTCAAGAGGGGAGTGTGCTTGCAGGTGACTGGATGACCCAGCTGACGCCGGTCGTGGGCACCCTTTCAGCAACCTCAAAGGGTTTATTGGTCTGGGGTTCTTAAAGAGGCATATAGCCTATACTCGAGGTGGCTTGCCGCCGACCCGGTGCAACGACTTGCCATCAAGGCCGAGGCAAATGCGTGGTCGGTTAGATCGCCGCGGCACGAGCTGATAGAGCAGAGGTTGACGGTTCTACTTATGAGAGCAGTGCCTTCCGAAATTAGGGCAGAGTTGGTAGCCGTAAGAGCTATGACCTCCATGGCTGTCATAGTAGCAGTGTTGACCAGGTATCAGCCTGGAGGGCCAAGCGAGCGTGCCAACGTGTTGGCTTTCCTGGTGTCTCCTGAGCGGCCTACATCCATCGAAAACGGCCTCACCACGTGCCGCAGATGGCTCCGTCAGCTACAGCGGGCCAAAGAGTTGAATTTGATGTTGCCGGATGCTACGCTGTTGATCAAAGGGGCTGACTCTCTCATGGGCCCGGTCCTTACTAGGAGCCAGCAGTCTGTCTTCAGGTTAAACTCGTTTCGGAACGAGCGGAAGCTGGACTACATGCCTACCTTTGATTCCATCGTAGCTTTCGGGCAACTCATCTTAGCTGAATATGAGCTGCTGCAGCATAGTGAGCCCTCTGAACCCAAAAAGCCTAAGTTGAATAAGCTTCAGGAAGGTGAGGACGGTCCCCAACCCAAAGGAGGCAAGGGAAAGCATGGAAGAGGAGGTAATCCTTCAGATAGCGATAGAGGGGGAAAAGGTGGGTCCGGGAATCAGGCCTCAAGTTCGAGCGATAAGGATTCCACCAAGGTTCCGTGCAAGTATTGGTGCATCACGGATATGGGGTGCACAAGGGCTGCCAAATGCCCTGACGTACATAATAAGGATTTGTTAAAGGGAACCAGTCGTTGCTGGGTTTGTTCAAGCACCCAGCACCAAAAGCAGGACTGCCCGCGGTGGCGTAAGGATAGTCCTGAGGACCAAGCCCCCAACCCCAAAGGAAAGGGTACTAAAACTAAGCCCGAGGCCAAGGTTAAAGCTGCTAAGGAGGATACCCCTGCCCCAACTCTGGCTCCCAGTGCACAGCAGCTTTTGCAAGACACGGCAGCGCTACTCAAGAATCTTCGGATCAGTAAGATTGGGGAAGGGCGCCGTTCGCTGAGGGCCCTTTTGGATTCAGGTGCTACTGCTTGCATGAGGACCGCGCATGAGGGTGAGCTCCATGGGTTGCCTGAGCGCACTGTCCATCTTGCACAGGGTGAGGTTCGACTTAGGGTAAACTCCGGGGGTACCTTGCTCACGACGGATCAAGTCGACCCCATTGTCTCCTTGCATCGGCTGTGCCAAATAGGGTACCGAGTGGACTGGTCGCGAGAGGGTGGCTGTCAGATAAGAGGTCCCGGGAATCAGGCACTGCGGGTCTACACCGATAATGGTTGCCCTGAGGTCGACCGGCATGAAGGGTTGAACCTGATTAAGGAGATTGAAAATGCTCAGATTCGGAATGCCCAAGCCCTTCGGACGCTACGGGAAAATAGCAAGGAAAGTGTCGATCTGAAAGAAGCCCTTAGGGCATTGCCTGTGGATCCGTCGCTTGCTATGCAGTGGTTGGCCAAGAAATTTCCTTCGGTGCCATTGGAGATCCTGGCTAGGATTCCAGTTCCTGCCAGCTATGATTCCTCCAGGGTGTTTTGGAACCGCAGACAACGAAGATCGTGGCTTCGATCAAAGGCTCTGGCCCTTCATTTGTTTTCGGGACCCTCCAAGCGTTTTTGGGAAGTGCCTCGCTCAGATGCCCATTGCGTGTGTGTAGACATACAGGAGAACCTCATGGACGATAGCACGTACGCCTTTCTCCAATCGCTTGCGTTGACAGGCAAACTGGCGGCAGTGTTTGGGGGGCCACCGTGTAGAACATATTCATTGTCAAGGTATATGCCCCCAGGCTTACCTAGACCGCTAAGGGGAAGATCCTTGGATACACAGTGGGGTTTTGAGCACCTAACCCCCAATGAAAGGGAGGCCGTCCAAGTAGATGGGGCGTTGATGTTCCGAATGGTCTGGTTGTATCTGATCGCTGAGGCAGTCACTGAAGAGCTCGGTCAGCCCAAGCCCTTCATGGGTTTAGAACATCCACGGGATCCCGAATCCTGGGCCCGACCCGAGGAGATGGGTTTGGATGTGCCACCCCATGGGTTTGCCTCATGCTGGGCACTGGATGCCATTAAGGGCCTGATTCAGGAGCATAAATTTTATCTTTGGCATTTTGACCAGGGTCCTTTGGGGCACGAGAAACGGAAACCCACCACCATAATGTCCAGTATCCCCGCGCCTCCGGATGTGTTAGTCAGTGGTCCGGGGCATGGGGTGCCCAGCAAGGCCGTGGAACAGCAAAATAGGACGTGGAGCTCGTGGCCGTCCGCAGCCTGGTCGGCTTGGGCACCTGGCCTTGAAAGCATCCTAAAACGGGAGGTAGTGTCAGCCCTTGATGCTTGGTGTTCCGAAAAATGTTGTGCCTTGCGGGAGCAGGAGAACTTTCTGCGGCATGTAGTCCAGGGACATGTGGATTTCCGGAGGGATTGCTCTGCTTGTTTGGCTGGGGCCGCTAGGGGTGAAAGGCACCGCCGCAAATCAGTGCATGATGCTTGGGTCCTGCGTGTTGATCTGCTAGGACCCTTTCGGGAGGGGGCAGATGAGCATGGAGATGTCCGATACGCGCTCACAGGCATCCTTACAGTTCCTGATTTTTCCCGGGTTGTAGACGCCATTCAAGAGTCGGACAATATAGCTTCGGGTTCTAGTGATAGGGAGCCACAGGGGTTGGATCTTGCCGAGGCCAGGGATGGTATGCCTTCTGGGTCAGTGAACTCCGCAGGGTATCATGTGCCTTTGTCATCTTTGGGTCAGCCTGTGGCTTCGTTTTTGGAACCCATCGGAGAGGAGGACGATTTGGATGGATATGAGCCCTCGGATCCGGGCGGTGCTGGGGACGTCATGGCGCTTGAAGCGGAGGAAGAGGAGGAACCGGAGACGGTGGGGGAAGCCCAGGCCATAGACAAAGCCAATAAACGTTGGCGTGCGGCTGCCCAAGCCCTCCAGCTTCAAGAATGCTCCACCTTTGAGATCCCTCTCCTTCGTATGTTGCCTAATAAGTCTCAACAGAGTGTCGCTCAGGGTCTAGCTGCCATGATGGCTCATCTTCGTTACGAAGGTTTTATGATTCGACGCCTCCACTCTGACAGAGGGCGAGAGTTCAATAACGGGGTTG